CTTCCTCTGAAAGGGCAGCCAGGCAGGCAAGAGAGGATGGTGCAAGGGGAAACTGGTTGCTTCAGCCTGGTGCCTTTCCTCTTCCCCAGGCCTGGCTGATTTCACAATAATCACAAGTTTCACATCTCCTATCCATGGCAGGAGTGTTCCAGAAGCTCTGAGGGAAGGGCCAGTTAGCCCCCAAAAGAAATCAAGAGGAGCCTCATGGTCCTGTGCCAGTGGCCTCACTTGATGAGCCTCAGTTTTCTCCCTTGTGAAATGGAACAGGCATAAGAGCAGCCTCTGGGGATAGCCCAACACTTGGGAATGTTGTGATGACACCAAATCTGTTTGGTTTTCAGCAACGGTCTGCTGGCTTTGATGAGCATAGAACAGAGAAGAGGGTAGAAATCAGGTGAGGCACAGAAATTTAAGGGTGAGCATCTAGAAATAAGGATCCTCTTCCCTATCCTATCTTTCTCCAGCAACCAGGTAGAAAAATGAAGCACTTAGAAAGGAGCAAGTGAAAAGATTTGCAGATGTATTCTTTACAGACATCCCTCAGGATCTGCAGGGGATTGGTTCTAGAATTCTCTGTGTATACTGAAATCTGTGGATGTTAAAGTCCCTTAAATAAGATGGTATAGTATTTCTGTATCACCTACATACATCCTCCTGGGTAAATCATCTCTGGATTGCTTATAACACCTGATACAATGTAAATGTATGTGAGCAGGTGTTAACACTATATTATTTAGGGAATAATGACAAGAAAAAAGTGTACTCATGTCTAATGTAGATGCAACTTGTTTTAAAATATTTGCCATCTGCAGCATACTGGATCCACTGATAGAAAACTCCTGTATATTTCAAAGTGAGGGTAGCATAGCAGTTTCTGCACGTAACATTATGCTAGTACACAGGGACAGGGACTTGTGGATAGAAATCTTCCATAAGCATCCAGTGGAGGGTGTGGATGAGAAAACAATACTTGCAGGGACCAATGCGTCAGTTTGATAGAGCCTAGGGACAAAAGGGGTGTGACAGCAGCAAATTATTACCCCAAATGAAGGGTTACCCCCAATCTCTTCCTTACTAACACATCCAGGCCTACAGCTCCCTCCTTCTCCTTTGAACCCACAGCAGAATCAGGCAGGGAAATAACTGTCTTTCTCCCTAGCTAATCTTAGAGTTTAGAAAGATGACACTTCATTAAAAGAGACTTGGGAATTACAGTTCCTGTGTGTGAGGCTGGGGAAGGGACCTGGCAGCTGTCACGTAGGGACCAGGGAAAAAGAATTGTAGGCAGATTATGGATGACAACGTGTTGACCATCTTTGAGTAAGAGCCTAAGTCACTGAAGATTCATCTGTATCTGGAATTGTTCTGGGTGACAAAGAGCTCCACTCACACAAAAGGGCCCAACAGAGTGAGGATGAGATAGTTAGGGATCGCCATGGTGGGACAGTGGTGGGGCAGAATGCTGGGAAAACAAAAATAAACCCCTGGACACAGTAAACTATTATCCTTTGTACCATGGCATGTTTCAACAGGCCTCTCATGAGACCCTGATAAAACCACAAAAGCAGTGGTTTTGCATAAAAAGAGAAACTGTTACCAAGAAAACACCAAGTAAGCCCTCTAGTCTCACTTATTCTTAGTCAACTTAACAGTCACTAATTTTGGACGTTACATAGCTGGGCAACACATTATTAGTTTCCCACTAGCTGTGCTGTAGGTAATACAGCTGGTAAGACGGGTATAGTAACAGTTTCCTAGCTTCCTTCTCGGGGAAATCAAGGTCACTTTTGTGGAAAACGTTGGCTCTTTATGTGGGCCTGCCAGTGTGTGATGGGTAACTAAAAGGGGATAGGAGGCTTGGCATTTCTGTCTTTAGATTGCGTCTGTCCTCCTTCCTGTGTTAATCCTTCGATTGTATTCTACTCAGCTCTGCACATAGACATGTTGATCATTTAAAAATGTTTTGTCTAAGACTGTAATACAGCGTTAACTCAATCCGCCGTCCAGTGGAGGTGGGACGTATTTTCTTTCTTTTCTCTTTTTCCATTTGTTTGTCTATTGTTGTTTTTCCTGCTGCTATCCTTGTTCGTCTTCAGCAGCCACAGAAACTCAAGCATCTGAAGATATGGCCACACCATAGGCTCCAGACCCACAAAGACTGGGACATTTTAACAGGATGATAGCACCAGATACACAAAATTTCAGCAACCTCTAGGACAAATTGACTGTGATCATCCATTGATCCAAGTCTATCACAAGAAGAAATGTCTTTGAAACTCTGTTCCTGGCCAGCTGGGGGGAAGTATAGAACCTTAACTCATCCCAACAAATCCTGCTGCTCTCTTTGCTCTGGAAGCAGCTTGGTCACTCGCTGACATCCTTCAGCCAAACCTCAATTTGGTCAACACCTCCCATGCACATACACACATGCACGAAAGCTTTGCCCATGAAGGAGTGTGTATGCTTGCAATATTTGGCCCAGTCTTGTTTCTACCATCGCTGGGTCAAAAGATTCTGCTATCTGGTACCAAGGAGAGCCAGTAAGGGTTTTGCCTCATGCACCTGAAGCCATACACAGAACCCTAAAGTTCTCCTCAAAATGTGCTAGGCAGAGAGGACGGGCCTCTCATGCAAATATTCCAGATCAGGAGGCTCAGCACTCACCAGTGCTCCTGGAGGCTGTGGAGTGGGAGGCAGCGGTGAGGAGGCCCATATAACCCCTCAGCCCAGTCCTTCTCCAGATGACATTCCACTCTGCCTGGTCACTGACACTGTCTTTACCTCCCCCATCCCGGGATAATGCCGGAGGAAAATATGACCTAGCCACTCTGTACAAGGCAACAAGGAGCAATATTTTCCACTTCCTCAGAGCTGACAATTTTAATCTCTAAATTAAAAAAAAAAAATTATCCCCTCTCTTTCTCTTGCTTTGCTCTTTTAGTTGAAGTACCTCAGAACTTCAAAGGCAAGTGGGAGGAAGTGCTTATTTGCACTTCCTGTCTAACCTCCCCTCTGTCTGCCCCATTTTTCACCTTGGCAGCCTGCACGGAGATAGATCTGCTGCGAAGAGAAACTCTGCAAGTGCCAGTAAGGGTGGGTAGAGTGTAGGCAGGAGCCAGGAGAGAGAAAAGCAGACTTTCTGTTTAATACAAGAAAAAATCTTGCCTTCCTCCTCTGGCAAAGGGGAGAAAAATAGAGAGGTGAGTGCAAGAAAAAGGGAGCAACTTAACCCCCACTGAACGAAGGCAACTGTGACCTATTCCAGGTACTTATCGGCAAGAAAAAGCTGTGGGCCCAGGATGTTCATACATGCCACTAAGACAAGGCAAGATTTGTAGTAAACAAAAATGGGGGCTGGGGATTTAGCTCAGCGGCAAAAGCGCCTGCCTGGCAAGCGCAAGGTCGTGAGTTCCGTTCCCGGTACCGGAGAAAAACCAAAAAAAAAAAAAAAAAAATGGCACGGGTTAGGGGTTTGGGGTAGGTTTGGGGAGAAGTGGTTACATTCAGAAAGCCTGTACATTATCCACCCTCCCATGAAGCCTCAAGGCTTTGCGGAAAAGAAACGCTATGTTCTTACATATATCATGTAACTCTCATAATGACTCCTTGTGAAAGACAAATAGAGTCACAACTACTCATTTTACAGACTGAAAAGAAAGGCTGAGGGAGACAATGCTCATTCAAAGAGTTGCAGATGATCAGAACTAGAATGTGGTATTTGCAGCCAAATCTGTGTGATACTGAGGCTCTCTCTACTGAAAGAGGCAGATTCTGAGGATGAAAATATTTCCCAGTGAGTAATCAATATTTACCCAAAACAAGTCTTGCCAAACATATTTGTTAAGCTCTGAAAAACAGGATATTTTGTCTCTGAGTTCTCCTACAGTGATGACTCTTGGATCACATGCATTTTTCCTAGCAAAGAAGAAACATGCTTAGCAATTCTCATGCAGGGTTGGTGTGGGCTCCTGGCGTCCTTCGATTCTCCGCTGCAATAAAGGAGGTACCTCTTATTGAACTAAACATCTTATCAGGTCAGATCAGTTATCAGCCAAACTAAGATGTTTTTGAAAGAGGAAAGGGTGCTACTTGTGCTATGCTGGGCCAGTGGGTACACTTCTGGGCCATTCCTGGCAAATGAATAGAGCTCTTCTCAAATGAGCACTGCGTGTGCCTGTAGCCTGCCTGAGGTGTATGCGGCAACACAGCTCTCAGTGATTTTATCCTATGAGTTCTTCACCCAGGTCATAGCCTCTTGCAGGCTAGGATTAGGGTTCCACTGAGTCAGGCTGAGGGTGGGAGGTGGGCATGGTAGAAAAGGGGAAACTGAGGGAGAAAAGAAGCACCAGCCTTCTTCATCTGTTCTTGCCTCAGGCTTTGAAGAGGCCTGCATCCTTGCTGCTGTGGTGTCTCTGCAGCCACCAGCTTCACGTTCCCAGCCTGGTTTTGAAAACTGTCTTTGTGAACACGTGAAAGCACTTATATTCTTCCAAAAAGTTACCCGTGGCTCAACTCAGGTTAGGTAGAGTTGGGTTCTGTTGCTTACAACCCCAAAAGATTCTCCCAGCACACGTAGATCATTAATCTTCAATTCCTCTGTACAATGTCAAAGGGTATAAAAGAGGTAGCCTGGAGCTCCTAAGCTCCCAGGGGTAGGGAGGTTGGGAGTCCTCAGGCCTAGATTCTCACCAAGCAGTGCCATCAGCTCAACATTAAACCCCTTTTAAAGCCTCCTCATCTATAAAAAGGGACAGTAACACTTAATATTTCTCACAGTGCTTTTGCTGATATATAAAGTTGCTGTGTCACATGCCTGAACTGTGTCTAAGGTATCATAGAGATGTTTTCATTCATTTTCTTCTCCCAGACAGTTTCTAAGAATGTTGTCTGCCTTTGAGTGCCAGCATTCTATGATCCTGTCAGTAGCTGATTAATTTTTTTTGGTCTGCCTTTGTTCAGAGAACAACAAAAAGAAGCACAAATAGTTTGGTAGTGACCATTTATTCTGAAGAGCTTTCAGGGAGTGCCATCAGAGGGAGATCGGGTATGTTATCAGCCAAACCAAGATGTTTTTGAAAGAGGAAAGGGTGCTACTTGTACTATGCTGGGCCAGTGAGTACACTTCAGGGCCATTCCTGGCAAATGAATAGAGCTCTCCTCAAATGAGCGCTGCTTGTGCACGTAGCCTGCTCCAGGTGCGTGGGGAAACACAGCTGTCAGGGATTTGATCCCATGAATTCTTCACCCAAGTCACAGCCTCTTGTAGGCTGGGTTTCACCAAATCTGCATTAAATCAAGTGTTAATTACAGATTTACAAAACAGGAGTGGCCACAAAAATGATGAGAGCTAAGAATGACGGAAAAGCCACACAAAAGCAAAGAAAAACTGCAGGCACCAAAGTTCAGAAAACCTTTCTGTATTCTCACCTCAGACTTCTTGCCGATCATTATATCGATGTCTTCATCTGTTTTCTTCTGCACAATCTTAGTTGAGCAGAAGTCCCTGTTTCTTACTCATTCTGGCCAGTGATAACTATTTGCATTTAGTGAGAAATCAGGATCCTACTTGCCACAGACAGAAACTCCAAGTGCAAATCAGTTCTCAATTTGAGCCTGTGTTCATTGATTGCAGTATTCATGTAGACCAGTGACTGCTAAATCCCAGTGGCTCTGGGAGTGAGGCCCTCCCAGAACATGACCTTGGCCTGCCCTTACTGGAACTGGACAGTCTACTTTCTCTTTCAACCAAGGAGAGGCTACTAAATATAGCATGTGACTAGACAACAAAAGTGCCAGAGTCCTCTAGCACTGAAAAACAAGAAACCAATTCTCACACCCAGGCCTCTCCCCTCCCTCTCACCACTGTTCCTCGTATCTACTGTACAGTCTCAGAACCTCTTGGCAGAGTCTTCTCCCTCCCCGCCAACTTTGTGAGTTAGGGATTCTCACCTAGGCAACTTCAAAGCCAGGATTCTCCCAATGGGAGCTTCATCTTTGTTCCTGTTTTGGTGGTTTCCTGGGATCTTAAAGGGACTCAAGATTATTCTGGAAATCTGGCAGCATGATCTTGCTGGTCTAGCTTTTCTTTTCAAGTCTATTCCCTTTATTCCCCCAAAGTCAATCATCTCTTCTTAAGACAGAACCCAGGGGAGTCAAGGCTCAGATTCTAGACTCAGAATGATACGTTTGAATCCCAACTCTGTTACACTCCAGCTAAGAGACCTTGGGCAACTTACTTAGCTTCTTTGTGCTACAATTTCCACAGGGTATGGGCAACTCTATATAATAGCAGTTGTGAAGAACTGGTGAAGTAAAATTGAAGCAAGGAGCACAGCTCTTCAAATGCTGTAGAGGGTAATCTTTGCTGGGATTGTTCACTACTCTGAACACATCTGATTTATTAATTCCTTCCCAGGGGCCAGCCAGAGCAGCAGTCAGCTCTCCAGTGTTGTGTGGTCCTAGGTCACATATAGTACTAAGCTGAGCTCTCCTGGGACACCCAGGGACAAAGATCAATTGTATACACTGTTCTCTAACATTTTGAGTGCAGACAGACAGCAATAGTGCTAGAGTCTGGCTTTCGTAATAATTAGAAAGAGGTGCTGCCAGCTGGTAGGCTGTTAAGGCCAGGGGGAAATGAAGCAAGGAAAGGCAGCCTGATAGGAAGAACAGCAGCCCAATGCAAGGCAGTACTAATGCAAGCCCACTGTGGGCACTGGTGTCAGGGAGATGCTAAGGCAGGGTAGGGCTGGGGCAAATGGAACAGCTCAGCTTATATCTGTTGTCACCTGGTAATGGAAGAGGACACATGTAAAAATGTGGGTCTTGTGTTGCCGTATATTTAAGAAAAGCTAGAAAGCTACATTTTATTTAAAAACAAACTCAAAAAGAAAGTGTAAACAATTGTGGTAGGCAGAATAATGGCCCAAAAAGATCTCGATGCCCTAATTCTGGAATATGTCAGTGCCAGGTTACATGGCAAAGAGGAATTAAGACTGCAGGTTGAAATCAAGATTGCTAATCAGCTGGCCTTAAGGGGAGTATCTTGGGATATCTCATGGGCCAAATGTAATCAAAAGGTCCTTAAAAATGGAAAAGAGAAACTGAGACTACAGCTCAGAGGCAGAGTGCTTGCCTAGCATGCGCAAGGACCTGGGTTCAATTCCTAGCACAGAAGAAAAAAAAGTGGAAGAGAGGTGGGAGAAGAGAAAATCAAAGAGAGCTGTGACTATAGAAGAGACACCAAGAGATACAATCTTAATGGACTGGAAAACGGAAAAACAAGACCATGAGCCAAAGAATGTGTATGGCTTCTAGAAGCTAGAAAAGGCAGGGTAAGGTTCTCTCCTAGAACATTCAAAATGGAATGCAGCTCATGATTTTAACCTGGGGAAACCTGTATGAGATGTCAACCTCCAGAGCTGTATGGTGATACCTTTGTGTTAAATCACCAAGATTGTGATACTTTATTACAGCAGTAACAATAAACCAATACATCAATTCCCTTAAGAAAATAAAAGTAAGCCAAACACACCATGTCTGCTGGCTGCAGGAGTTGCAAGCCACTTCTGACTGAAAATTGCTAAATCACACAGACTAATTTTTAAGTAGTAAAGACTTGAAAATCACCAACAAGGACCCCATGACCTCATCCAGGGCAGTGAGGAACCGGAAATAACACAGCTATGATTTATGCTAGTTATGCCAAGTCTTAGAAGAGAACTCAGATCTTTAACCCAGCATCCATACAAGGTGAACTACTGTTGGTAAGTCCCTGCTGATGTGGAATTCCACATCCAAATCCCAAGTGGACTTGTCAGTTTATGTAAGCACAATGGGACATAGCAGGGAGAAGGAAGAAATAGCAACTTAGGCAGCAGGAGCCATTTGCCTACTGTTCTATTCAAGAAGCAAAGCAGTGCCCCAGGGGAAGCTCCCAGAGTCCCGCTGTAGTGCTATCTTCAGAACTTAACCCTAAGAAAGACTCTGAGACACAGGGCACTACACTGGGCTCTTACTGGTATCAACTCCATTGCCTGCTTCCCAGACCCCTTTTCCTGTTTTTCAAGCCAGCTGCATTTCTTTTTTCTTTTCTTTCTCTTATTTTCCTTTGCACATGTAATTTTTGAAGCCCCATTCAGTTTCTGCAGAAAGCTCTGCACTGGGTGAAAGCAGAAGCATGCTTGTCTTCATTGAAAATCTCTCTCAGGGGTTTTATGGGCCCCCAGTCTTGGATTGCTATACAAGGATGGCCATGGATAAGAGCTGACTGCCTGGGAAATGAAATCAGACATGTGTCATTTTGACATAGCAAGGGCCTGTAGAGGTACTCGGCTCCAAAGTGGCAGCCCGTGGGCATCTTCTAACTATGGGTGTTCTGTTTGGTCTATCTCATTCCTCATTGTCCCCACCATGAGAAAAGTTATTTTGAAAGCCTTCAAGGAGAGAACATTCTCTTCTATTTGCCTCAATCCTCCCACGATCTTATACCATCCCCCTTTGTTTATCTATATTCTTTACCAAGTTCCCAAAAGAATTTTAGTCTGTGAAAATTTAACCTTATACGAGTTCCTCATTTAATTCAGTTCATTTGTTCATTTACTCCATAAATATTTATTGATCATCTGTGTGACACCATATGTGTCAAAGAATGTAATGGGAATGTAAAGGTGAACAAAGTGGTTGTTCTAACAGCCTAAAATGATAACCATTATAGAGATAATAATAATGAAAAGTATTGAGTATTTATTTTGTTTCAGGCTACCTACATTCTAAGCCATACATATATACATATATATGATTCATAGGCTTACATATGTATAATATAATGTATGACTTTATCATCAATAATATGATAAATATGATAAATGACATAATGATAAATGACTTTAATCATTTATGTAATCAATATTCCTTATCCTTAA